AGAGTGAATTCCTATTAGTCCTACCCCGTTATTTTGTGTATTTACCTGGAAAAAAAATACTAGGACTTTAAAAATGAGCCAAAAGGTGAAAGTCTTTGTGAGTAAAGAATGCAGTGGACTCCCCATCAGGCATGAGAACGTTTTGACCAAGCTCCATAGCCTCCAGTATTTCCATGATGCCACCGCCTGCATGACTTGCTCAATGAGACTTTGAAGCATCCTGGCCATGATGACCTCATCTAACCCCCACAAACACACACACATGCACACTCCAAGCACCGCCATTGTGCAACAACCAGTCCATGGGCGCCACGCTCCATTAAATACCACGCCACACTCCTTTATTCACTTTAAGGAGGCAAAGCAAGAAGCACTTTCCCTCATCATAGTCAAGCCTGCTGGATGATGAAGGAAAAAGGCTGGAGATGCTCGAGGCTCTTCACAGAAACCCCCTTCACCTGCATCACATGCTGATGGTGTTCCCTGCTCTGCAACAAGGCTGAAACTGATGCTGGAGGGTCAGAATCTTCCCTATATACCAGTACATACATGCAGATTGTAAACAGGGTCATAGAAGTGACCTAGTGTAGACAATTTCTATGGTGGTAGTGTTATGATAGTGTGGCTTTCACTTCCAGCTCGTAGCTGCTCTCTGACGCTGTCTGACAGAGTCTTACCAGGAGGGGGTCTGGAGCTTGGTGCAATCCTGGCCGTAAACCATGGCATCATTGTAAAAATGTGCTGCCCATAAATAGAGTGCCTAGAGAACCTAGAAAGTAGAGAACCTAGAGCATGGTGAGGATATGGGAGAGCAAATTATTGGGCAAAAAATATAGCAGCATCATGGTTGCCTTCAAACTGAAGATTTTCCAGATTTGCTTTGATCATGTTGTATAACTCATAGAGATGTAAGTTGGGGTCATCATACCTTGTGAATGGGGCCTAAAAGTGACCTCACTTTCAGCAGATGCATGACTGTGGTAAATTTAAATGGCACCTGGGCATCGGCGTCAGAAGCAGTGCGTAATTTGAACCGGAACAGGATTTGGAAACTCTTATTTTGACAGGGTACGTTCTGTAGTGAACTAGGCCTGAGGTCAAAACCTTGACCTAAGGATCATTTGGGACAGAACTGTCATTTCATTGATTTGAATCCAGAAATACAGGTTGACCCATCCTGAGACTTTCTTTCTTGAATTAATCAAGTGGAAAAAGACAATTCTCTATGATCATTACTATTTTACAAATGTTTTGATAATCAAATTGTGTTAGTTCAAACAATGTTTACATGTTGAAGTGAACTAATCATTTTAATTAACTGTGAAACAGTATAATGATTGTTAATCCTCATTCAAAGTGAAATCAAGTTGGAATACGTTACAGAGTAATGATTCATTTCTTGATCGTCTGTTTGAAGTGAGTAAGTTGTAAGTGTGTTCAAAGTTCAAGTTTCGGTCAACTGAAAAGTTTGCTGAAAAGAAATGTCATGTTTAACTTTTACAGCAAGATACTGGAAGAGGTGACTCCACGAAGTCTGGTTCCTTCATAATATCTTTCTGTCTGTTCTTAAACAATCTTAATCTTTTCCTTGACTTTTCATAACACCTTACATCACAAAACACACCTCTGTTTTGGTCCATCGACCAATCAGAAACTCCCAAATGAACCGGAAGTAGAGCCCTTTAAATGTTGGCACTTCCTAGTTCAACAAGAGAGTTTGGAGTTCCAGAGAGTTTGGAGTTCCAGAGAGTTTGGAGTTCCAGAGAGTTTGGAGTTCCAGAGAGTTTGGAGTTCCAGAGAGTTTGGAGTTCCAGAATGCAGAATGCTGGAATGCAGCATGCTCAATACAGCTGCCACTAAGCTGAACGAGAGGAGATTCTGGGAATTATGAAAGTCTGTTTTGGATGACCTCCACATGACTCCCGAGGTTTTTAGCTGCTCTTACGGAGACGCTGAAAAGGTGGCTCGAAGTGGGACTTCACGCCGGAACTGATATATCTTCAGAAAAGGTAAAAAGTCGATCTTCAACCGAAAGTGTACCGTTGGAATAAGCTGGTCCAAAGGAGCGTGCGGTTCTGGTTAAAACAGACAAATTCCCTCACACATCTCTCTGTAGATAAACTTCATCTTTCCATCTTTAAAATTCTTCTACCTGCTAGCAAATTAATCCAGATATTTTCAGAAATGTCTGTGGTGAAGCAACGGAAAATCATGGCCGTATGGTTTTCCTGGTTGTAAAGCTGATTAATAAGCTGTCGTTATTTTCAATTTTTGCCAATTAATGTAAATGTGTGATGTGTTAAACTTGATTCTGTTAATAAATGACCCACAGTCTTGGTGAGTCAAAGATAATTAACGTCTCACGTCCACATTTTATTAAATTCAATGCACGTTTTATACAGTCCAGAAAAATGAAAGAATCCGTTTAATTTATGAATATATCTCATGCATATGTTCATACTACAGTTCCAACAACTGTTTGCTTGGATCCAGTATCTCTCAGGCTTACTAATAATAAAGTTATGAACAAATATGGCTGCCTTGAATGAATAAAACTTATATTGGATATGTAAACTGAAAATAATTACATAAACACTCATTTTAAACACAATAGCAACTTACTACTTCTTAATATCACATACGATCTGCCCCTTCAAGTGAAGCAGTTCTGCCTCTACCCTTAAAAAAATCTCCGCTCCTAACAGAGTGGTGGGAGCGTGCCCAGAGGATCAGGCAGTCATACGTGGGCAGGAGACCACAGGCAGCGGCCTTGAACCGATGAAGGATGTACCTAGAAGGTTTCACATGTGGAGTCAGACAGTGAATTCAGTGGAGAAGAGTTAGCTCAAAACCGTCAAGTTTGTGTGTGTGTGTTGGGGGGGGGGGTGTACGAGTGTTTACAAATGTAGGTAAACGTAGATGTTTAACTACTTGTTAAAATACACTGGCTCACCCGCTATTTGCATTCCGGCATCAATCATTTTACAAATTAAGTCCTGGTCAGAAACATTGTAATGTGGGGGGAAGGGGGGGCATGCTAATATGACGATGGTGTGTGTGTTTTGGGGGGAGAGACCTAACCCTCCCCCAGAAAATTCTGAATAAAGAATATACCATTTCCTGTGGTCTGGTGTATTTTAATGAGTTGTTAAACATCTATGTTAACCTACGTAAGTAAACACTTGATTCAATAACTATTTTTGAGCATGGCACAACAAGACGTAGCCTGACCAACTCCACTTCTCTCACACACCCACACCCCCCCCCCCCCCCACCTTAAAAACTGCCGGAACTAACGTAGCTGTAAGCTGGCGACGTGCAATACAGATGTGTTAGCTAAGATGCTACAGACACAGTGCTCTGCTTCTCTCATTCATCCTAAACCCCCACCCCGGTCACAACTGCCAGCACTAACGTGGCACTAAGCTAGCATGCAAAACAGAGGTGTCTCCCCCCTCCTCTCCCCATGAGCGCCCTGCCAAAGTATATGACTGAGAGGAAACTGCATGTGGTGTGGAGTTGTAGGCAACCAGGAAAACCCAGAGTGGACTTTTAGTGGTTTGAGTGTTCTCCTATTAATCAAGTGGAATGGAAATAGAAACAGTGCTGGGTGAACTAATGTTTCATGGTAAAAGTGGGGGGATCCAAATGAATATTTTTGAAATGTGTGGGGGGATACGTCCCCTTCACATATAAGTATTGTGACACCTATGCACCTGGGGCTTCTTACTAAGACTAAATATGATCAGGTTACCTTCCCATTGAGTGATTCACACATGGAATATGCGTTTCTGGACATTTGTTTCATATTCTTTAAGATCTACCTTTATTCAAAAATCGTTCAATACAAAAACAACTGGACTTTATTTGTAACAGAAGATGTTTCGCTCCTCATCCGAGGAGCTTTCTCAATTCAAAGAGCAGAGAGTGAGAGATACAGGTTATAAGGCTGAGTGAGATAAGTCACACACACACATAAGACACACACACACACATATATGTAGATACACAAACAGAGTGGTGTAGTGTATGCGGTCCAGTGCAGCGAGGACTGTCCAGACCTCTACATTGGAGACACTAAACAGCCTCTTCACAGACGCATGACTCAACACAGGAGAGCCACCTCCTCTGGACAAAATTATGCAGTTCACCTCCACCTCACAGATAAGGGACACTCTTTTGAGGACCAAAATGTGCACATTTTGGACCGAGAACACAGATGGTTTGAGAGGGGGGTGAAGGAAGCAATTTATGTAAAAAGAGAAAAGCCGTCTCTTAACAGAGGAGGAGGCCTCAGATTCCCACTTTCAAAAACATATAATGCAACTTTAAAACAGATCCCCAGCCGGTTTTCACACCTGATGGGAACAGAGGGGCCTCGACTGTGAATTAGAGGAACAAAGACCTACTGTTTTAGGTTTTTAGGTGTGAACTGCCAATGTACATATATGTGTGTGTGTGTGTCTTATGTGTGTGTGTGTGTGTGTCTTATCTCACTCAGCCTTATAACCTGTATCTCTCACTCTCTGCTCTTTGAATTGAGAAAGGTCCTCGGATGAGGAGCGAAACATCTTCTGTTACAAATAAAGTCCAGTTGTTTTTGTATTGAACGCTTTTTGAATTCATCATGTCCTGGATGACTGAGAATCTTCACCAGCATATCTACCTTTATTGTTGATAAAAAAAAAAGTGTCTTAGGGTTCAAAAACTAAAACTATGATTAAAACTATGTAAGGTGTTTCACATTAAAGTTATTCAAAATTCTACATAAATGTTGTTTCAGTTTTTTGATCAAAAGGAAATCTTCAGAAAGTCTTCACAAATCTATCGGCTCTGTATAAACTTTACACTGACAGTAAATGGCTGGGTTATCAGATCACTGACATATGTATTAGAATTAAAGCTTCTTACATGTCTACTTACATAATATTGACTTTTTGCCCCCACCCCATTTGTTCTCTCCCTTTTTGTTTTTCTTATCTAATGCCTACCCGCTGGAGGTAGTGAAAGTGGTCGGAGTACCCCCAGCTTATCCACCTTTTCGGATGGAAAATCCCCCTCGTCTGCTTCTACATACATGGCTGCTCCTCGACATTTCCACATACCAGGTAGGCCTTGACCACACCGCTCTGCTCACAGCTCAGCTCATGACTGCTGTTATTTTTGTTGTTGGTGTAGCTGATTCAAAAGGTAAGCTGTGAAATCATAATTAGACAAACGTTTCATGAATTGTGCTAATTTCTTAAACAAATGAAATCCTATTTACTGTAGTATGGTTATGAAGAAGTTTGGTTGGACCTCCCCTTCTGCACATTAGTACCAGACCCTTGATTACTGGAGGGCCACCAATGCAAAATACACTCCTTAATCCTCTAGTCTTCATTTCTTGATTTGTATTTTGATTTATTTGACAACACTTCTTTATTTAAGTAAAAAATATTATTGGCAAGCACAGGAAATTATTGTCAAATTTTATACAATGGATTGAATTGAGGAATCCTATCTCATCCTCTGACTTTGTGCTAAGAAATCTATGCGATCACAAGTTAGATTCAATTAAATGTATCATAAATGACCTAATTTAATCAACTAAGCTCAAATTTCTGCCTCAGTGAGGGCAAATGTCTCTTACATTTATTTCATGGGTAAGAACAAAGGAAACCAGCAAAACAGAAACAGTGTTTTTCTTGTAGCAGTTAAATCTGGAGTACAGTCCAACAGTCCGTCAGCCCACAGAGGTGAAATTATCAAAGCATCATAGATGCAGTTTTCACTCAGATACTTTGTGAACACATCCACTCACCTAAACATGAGGTCCAAAGTACTTGGTTTCTTCTTTGTAAAACAGTTGACTTCTTCAGGTGCTTTTGCAGGGAACAAGTTCATATTGGCTATTTAAGGAAATTTGTCCCCCCCCCCCCTTTTTTTTTTAACTGGACGTAACATGCCCATGCATAAATTTTGTCCTTCGTCAACCCAGAGGACAAAACCGCTCCATCCGTCCATCTGTCTGTGCATGTTGTGAGTATAATAAATTGGAAACCAACCACCCCAATCCTTTGATGAAACGATGTATTCCAGTTTTTATATTACTTAAAAGTAGTAGATTTGCCATGTCCTGGCTCCGCTGTTGCACCTGATAGTGAATAAATTTGCTCCCTCTACTCACCAGGATCTGTCACTCTGCGCTGCTTCAAACAAGGAAAAAAAAAAGTTCTCCACAGTGTAATTCCTACCAACTTGAATATTTGCGCCAAAAACACTGATTTACTTACAGTCTCTTCAATTCAAGTCCAGAAATACACTCACCTCCAAACATTCACTATTCAAATTCCTCAGCGTTGGAGGACATCAGCATACTTTTTGAACGAGTTTGTACTGGAGGTAGCATTTGTAGTTCTTATAACTGTGTATATTATGTCTATTTGAGCCACAAGATTGCATCAAGTCTATACCTCATTGCAATCCCTCGTTGTGAGCAAGCACATTGGCAGCTGTGGAAAAGAGCAACTCACTTTTAACAGGAAGAAACGTAGTAGAACTGGAAGAAAGTTCAGAATGGACAGCCATCTACCTCAATCTTTCTGGGGTTGAGAGGACAGGAAAGAGACGCAGGCAAACACAGGAGGGTTGTTCAGATGTAGTGTCTATGAGGAGGAAAAATATAGAAAAACGTGTTAATGGCAGCAGTATTTTCATGTAGTATATGAGAGCGTAAAGACATTAGCTGAGTGAGGAAATTATTTTAGTATGTCCTACTATGGCATCATAATAAAGGGATGGTTCAGGAAACACAAGCACAGCCTAATTATAGGATTTATCCAAGGGTCAGAAACTGGAAGTTGATCCTAAAAGACAGGAGCCTGATAATTGAACGCTCTGCCTCCCCTTCTACTGTTTGAAACTCTAAATGGGGAATGGACTGTACTTTTCTATCTTATTGAGATGCTCAAAGGTCTTTACAACACAATCTGTGTGCTCATTCACCCATTCATACAGCACTCTACTAGATCGATACAAAAAGTAATCAGTGCTTTTTCACATTCATACACTGATGGGACACACATTGGAGGCAATGAGAGGTTCAGTGTCTTACCCAGGGACACTTCAATGTGTGACTGCTGGTGGAATCCAACCCCCAACTCTTGCATTAGAGAACAACTGCTCTAACCACTCAGCCACAGCCGCCCCAACTCTAGAAACCACAAGTAAACCTGACCCAAATAACGTACGTTAACCAAGCAAACTGATCATTTTTACTTTAACAAATATAATTCTGCATTTAAATGTAGTTTTCATGTGTCCCTCGTCACAAAGCGAAGAGCTGGAATTGAAAATACCCTCCATCTCTCTGTCCATCCATCTGTCTGCATTTTAGTGCATGTTGTGAGCATAATTTGACAAACAAGAGCAGTACAGACACATTTTGGTGAGTGGCTGCATTTAGACGTAAGAAAAGTCAATATCAGAAATTGGGTTGCCATGTCAAAATCCAAAATGGGCACACAAAGATACATACAGTATATAGACAGTGTTCATTCAACTTTTATTTCTACAGGTTAGTCTCATTGAGCCTCAAGGACTTATTTACAAGAGAGATCTATTTTAAACAAAGAACACAGATGAGGTGCAGACAGTGTTGCTAGATAGAGTCGAGGTTTTCCAGGCCAAAAATCTGTTAACAACCAACACATAACATGACAACCTGCCCAATCAATTAATTCATTCAACCTTTATTTAAATAGGTTAGTCCCATTTTATATTGTTACAGTATATTTACTGTTTGAACATGAACGCACATCAGTACAAGCCAAAGTAATTTAACAATATGTGGCAAAATGCAACAATCCAACTAAAATATTCCCAGTGTTCCCAGCAAAAGCAGAATGAAAACCATCCAATTGGCAGTAAACTGCCCAATCAGGCAACACTGGGTACAGACAACAACAGGTACAGTATAGTTTCCTCAGACGATTGGGGTGGCTTAAGATTAATCCATGGGGGCCAAGGTTACATTGGACACCCTCTGGTTACTGGTGGTGGATAAAATGTCTCCCTCCATTCTTCTATGGAACATCAAAATGCTCAAAATTAAATAAATAAATAAAGCATTATGAAATAAGTATCTAAGCTCATTATTACTTTTTTTTTTTCATTTCTATTCTTTTATTTCATAATTGTGTTTTTCATATTCTCAACGATCTGTCACTTCTTAAAATGTTAAATCTGGTCCTCTGTGCATTCAAAAAACAAAACAACAAAAAAATGTAGAAACGTTTCATCTTTCGTCCAAAAGACTTCCTCAGTCTAAGGTGCTGTATTGGTTTTGGTTGTCAGCAGTAAAACTGGTTGATCCACTCTGAGAAGGTGCTATTTATAAGACTGAGCTGAATACAGCACCTCAGACTGAGGAAGTCTTTCAGATGAAAGATGAAACGTTTCTACATGTTTTTGTTGTTTTGCTTTGTTTTGTTTTTTTTGAATGTCCAGAGGACCAGATTGAACTTTTTTAGATTTTTTTTACCTGGATTATTGAGCATGCATCAGGAGATCTGTCACTTTGCTGCCTCAAACAAGAATAAATAAAAACCTACGTTCTTCTACAAAGTTCTTCTACTGCATACTCCATCTGAAGCGGCAAAATTGTCTCTCATTGATTTAGTTCCTTGAAGACAATTGATTCAATTCAATTCAGTTTATTTATATAGCACCATGTCACAACAAATTTGTCTCAGGGCACTTTACATAAACATTCACATACATAGAAAAGCCAATTTGTAAAGTTCTCTATCTAAGGAAGCAGCAGACAAGTTGAATCTTCACTTCATTGCAGTCTCCCATCCTGAGCAAGCACAGTAGCAACAGTGGAAAGGAAAAGCTCCCTTTAAGAAGCACGTCATTTTGTTCCCACAGCAGCTTTGCCCCTTCTCAACACAAAGGCCAGGCCAAACTTTTTCTCACAGGCGCAGCAAGTATTGTGTGATTGGTCAGAAATTTCTGGGCCTGTTCGTCAATGTGGAAATGCGCTTTGACCTTCAGCTGTACGACTCTTCAAATACACTAAATTAGTCAAATGGCCAATAACTCCTGGATGGAGATCATGCAGACATTGTTCGTGGAGGAGTCTGTCTGCAGAAAGTGTGGTTCTTTCTTTATGATAGATTTGTGGCCAAACGGCAGATGCAGGGACGGAGTGGAGCCTCTGGTGGGAAGACACCTGTGCAGAAACGTATACTGCAGCGGGAGGGGTTTCCCAGGAGCTCTGGCTCTCTATCTCATGAAACGTGTGTGTAAAATCTAACATCCTTCAACCACGTGACTGCCCTTTGACTGTTCGTCTTCAGATGGAGTATGCTGGGCCCTTAACTTCTACCCACTTGAATTGACTTTTTTATTCTTTTACTCCAAGTAATTACAAATTTCAATTCAGCAACGATATAAAAGCTGACTTCATGACTTTGAATAAACTGATATATATTTGGACAGGAGGTGACATTAAAGGGTGTGTCCTTTATTAATTTCTGTTTGATTCAACACTTGTTCCTATTGACAAAAGCCCTGTTGGTTAAACAAAGTGAAGAAACTAAACCTCATGTTGGAAATTAATTTCATTTTATTTATGGTGTAGTGCCAAATCACAACAGAAGTTATCTCAGGGCACTGAACAGAAACATTCACATACATAAAAAAGCCAATTAGTAAATGTCTCATTCTAAGGAAGCAGCAGATTGTGATGAATCTTCACTTCATCACAGTCTCCCATCCTGAGCAAGCACAAAGGAGACAGTGGAAAGAAAAAACTCTATTTTAACAAGAAGAAACCTCCAGCTTAACCAGGCTCAGGACAAGCGGCCATCTGCTTTGACTGACTGGTTTTGAGAAGACAGGAAGGAGAAACAGACAAAGAAAGAATAATAGGTCCAGGTGTAGTTTCTATAGGAGGAAAGAAAAAAACATGTTAAGATGGAAATAATTACAACTACAAACAGGTTGAGTAGAGCAAGTAAAGACAGCAGCAGAGAGAGGACATGTGTTCAGTTTTGTTTCTTATAGGCTTCGCCCTTTAAGGCTATCGCTAGTGGGTTTATCCCTTCGCGCGCAGCGCAGC